CTGGATGAACACAGCAGGCCAAGCAGCATCATAGGAGCAGAGAGGCTTTTTCTGATGAAGGGTCTAGGCCCGAAACGTCAGCCTCTCTGCTCCTATGATGCTGCTTGGCCTGCTGTGTTCATCCAGCCCTGCACCTTGTTGTCTCTGTAAGAATATTCCTGCTTTGCTTATTACTTTGTTAGACCCTTTCTTATTTTTTCAGTTCTCACTCTTACCCAACATTCTTCACCCAAACTTGTGATCTATTGACTAGCCACTTATAGACCATAGCTGCTTCGCCTCACAACTAGCTTGACTGATCTTTAATTATCCATCAAAAGATTACACTGCTGGTCGGCAGAGTAATCCACAAATAACTTCTTCCATAATTGTCTCTTGAACCCAAGATCTCCACACCACCTGAAGAATCTTTCACTACAATATCGTGACACTGATAGACTGATATGCCCACTGAACTCTTAGCACAGTTTTAAAGAAAACAATTGCGAAAGCTTAAGTGACCCCAGACTCACATTCCAAAAAATGCACCACCCAAGTGAGCTGCGTGGTCGAAAAATCTCCATCCCAGAAGCAGGCCAGTTGTATCCATAGCTATAATTGCTTTTAGAGCCTGCAACAGATAAAACCAAATGTAAACACTACTGCAAATACCCATCTTAGCTGCTCATGGTTATATTTAGGAAACAACAAAAAAGATCTCAATGTTCTTAAACATTAAGAACCAACTCAAAATGTCTGTTAAGTGAGGAGTCATTTATCTATTTTTATGCATGTTAGATTTAGGGCAGGACGTTGAGAGAAATAAGATGTCAGTGGCAGTGCTTAAGGATCAGATAAAAGTAATGAAGTATAAAATCATGTGTGCGTGAACACTCTTGAGGTGCTGTGTTGTTGGGTTCAGGAAATCTTAGCTACCTTAAGTGGCTCCTGTGATGGTTCCACAAGACTCATCATACATGCCCATTCATTTTGGAGGAGAATGATATAAAAGTACAGATACAAAGCATAGATTCAAAGAAGTATGGCCACTGTGTAGGTACATTGTATAAATATTTATATGGTATAATAGCTGTCTCTTTGGAGTACTAAGTGAGAAAAGACAAGATCAGAACCCAGGAAGAGAGTTTGCAGGGTGGTGGGGCAGAGGGGGTACGTCTGAGTTTGGTGTGGGAGAAGATAGCGGAGGACTGCAGGAGAAGGGAGCGAGAGAGAGATTTAGGCTTTATTGCCCCCTAGTAATAGGGGCCCTCAGTCTGGGGAATTACCCCGTTCAGCATCCCCTCTCCCCACCACTGAGTAAGCGCACATGCATAGTTGCCTGCAAAACTACCCCCAGTATTGAACTACAGAATGGCTGTTGCCTATTTTGTTAAGTTGAAACTGGCGCAATGTATGTACATTTCTTTTGTCTGCAAAAAACAGGGCTCTAAATATTAATACACAGCTCCCAGCTTGCACAAGTGTGTCATACTGAGAGCCTGAGTAACAATCTTAAATTGATCGTACAGTAATTAAAAAGCGTTCCTCTTTACATTGATACTTCTTGCCAAAGTCCTGATGAATGCGAGAAGGAAAGTTTCAACAAAATGTGCCTTTATTTAGCAATATTCTCTATTTCTGACAGCATGTGGACAATGACTAGATAAATACAACCCACTTTTCCACACATTGGATAAACTGCACCACACCCAGAAGGTGTATCTGAAACTTACACTGCTGGCTGTGAAGGTGAACATGGGCAGCAGGATGATGGCCAGTTTCGCTTCAGGCATTTTAGAGCAGACTGCAGCGAGGACAGCCATTATTGCACCAGACTAGTGTGAAGAAAAGACAAAACAGTAGGTGAGAAGAAAAAAAAGTCAGATCCGCATTTGCAAACTTATCTGTACACAATGTGATGAAAATGACCCTGACTATTTGTGAATGCCTTACATCACCAGGAAATACATACTGGAATCAGGACCACATCCTCTAATACAAACAATGAGAATGTTGTTTCAGCATGTCACACAGAACTTTGTGTTTAAACTTCAATCCCCCTAACTGAATCAATGTGATTCAGAAAGCAATGACCGGGTGGAGGGACATTGGAACAGTCAAGCACCAAAGATCATACAGCCATCCGTTCCACTATGACGAAAAGGGAAGAGTAACAGGAGCATTAAACTGTTAAAAGTTCAGAAAGATCCAAACACTGAATGTACAGTTTACGGTTTAAAAAAGCCATGTTGTGCCAACTACGTTGGGAAACATGACTGAAGTAACAAAGTTAATAAGAAGGTGATGAGTCAGGACTATTGGATTTGATACAGGATAGAAGAACAAGCACTAGAAACAGACAGAAGGTTAAAATAAAGGTTTACTTCACCAAGAGGTGGGGACAGGGGAGCTTCAGAATAGTTCACTGAGAAAGACTACAGATTTCTTTAGGATCTTATTTGACATGTACCTTGCAGGAAGATACATTGTTGATTATCACTGTTGGAACAAAAGGAAGGTGGACTAGATGGGTCTGCTTTCTACCAGCCTTGAGGTTTGCAAAGTTTCACAAGAATATCTTTTCAACACAGCTGTTCACAACAGAACATTGCAACATAGCTTTAGCGCCCAGGACTTTCCACCATACTCCATCTCATAGAGACTTATAAAATTCTAACATGACTGGACTGGGTAGATGCAGGGAGGATGTTGCCGATGGTGGGTGTGCCCAGAACCAGGGGTCACAATATGAGAATTCTGGGTAGATGATTTAGGACAGAGATGAGGAGATATTTCTTCACCCAAAGAGTGATGAGCCTGTGGAATTCATTACCACAGGAAGTAGTTGACACCAAAACATTGAATGTATTCAAGAGGCAACTATATATAGCACTTGGGGTGAATGGGATCAAAGTTTATGGGGAGAAAGCAGGATTTGGCTATTGAGTTGGATGATCAGCCATAAATGTGAAGAATGGCGGAGCAGGCTCGAAGGGCCAAACGGCCTCCTCTTGCTCCCATCTTCTATGTTTCTGTAATTTAAGATTTTTCAAGTTAACGGGACACTTACAGCTCCAAGTGATGCTCCTAAGCGGCCAGTTGCAGTTTTGTACATATAACTGGCAAACGTGGAGATAACACCTGGAACATCACAAGAGATAAAATGCAATAATCATCACCAGCTATTTACAGAGACTGCCAGTTAAACAACAGGGGAAATTGCAGGAATGAACTGGTCAAAGAAAACTATCAGAACTTAGGTTTCCACTAGAAACATTTAAGTAACATAAATCCCAGAAGTACAGAGAGCACTAGAGTTAATCCAGGACCAAAACTTACAGAACAACTGGACAGAATGAAAGAATGAGACATAAATCATCTCACATAAATATAAATCTACATTCGTCTGTTGACATGATAAATAAATAATATGTACAGGCCACAATTCCACTATTGTGCTGCTCAACCTTGGCCAGGGTATAAATGGCAATTCTACAATTAACCTCAGCATCCTCGAGAAAGGAAGTGGAACCCCAAACCTACTGCTATACTGTGCCTGCTCCCTCAAGTCCACCACTATTATATGTTCTGTCCCCTCACCACTGGACTCTCTGGTCACTGCCTTATATATACTGCCTACAGACAATTCTGCAGCAAATCATAATCAATGTAAAAGACTTGATTCATCTGTCACTAGGAATCAGTGCATTTGCAATGCTTATTTGCATTGTTTATTCTTGTGATGAATCTTTCTGTACCAATAAGTAAACAATTCTCTGCTGGCCTTATGGAAGATTTCAGACCTCGTTCTTACCCTAGTTGACTCACTGATCAGCCAAATCCTGCATTACTCTGCTGTACTGTGATACTTGCCATCAAGTCTCTATGTGACAAATCATCTATTTTCTGGGACACGAATAAGGCTTCTGATTAAAATAGCACCTTTTCCATTTTCCCCAAGCTGTAAATTTTAAGTTTTATGCCTATCTTAATGTTTCAAGTGATAATCTAGCTATTCCCTGCCCTAGGTCTAAGCTCTCTTCTTGAAAACATGGTCGTGAATCCAAATATTTTAAATGTTCATATTCCTTTTCAGAATCTGCCACAATGCCCTTTGAAACAGCATTCTATTATAGGTTCTTTCAAGAGTCCATTGCTACCAGTCTTCCAGCTGATGGCTCCTCCTAGTTCTTTCCTTTAGCCCATTAACTCAGGATTTCCTTTGGGCATTGTATTTTCTCTTCCATCTGCCCCACCTCTAACTTATGTCAGATGCAGTCCCAGTCCTTTTTAATCTATTGATACTCTAGTACTCAAATGTCTTGTCCAACCTCAAATATCTCACAACGATGTTGCCTATAAGCATTTTGGATTTTACCATGTGCGCCAAACACAATTTATTGTCAATATTCCTTAAAGCAATCCTATAAACTTGCTCCAATAATTGAATCTTGCTGTTGACTTTAGACAAGCATCGCACATTCCAGACAGAATATCAAAAAAATCAATTCTTATTTCAATGCTAGTCTCCACCCTTTTCTATGTTGGTTCTCTTGTTAGTCTTCGCTCTGACTTTTCCTGCTTGCTTTTCCAAGATCTAAATACACCAGTGGCACATATTTTCCTCCTCCTCACATTTTTTTTGAAACAAAGGTTCATTGTACCACCGCCTACCCTATTCAATTCTTGCCCAGGTCTCCAAAACAAATGCCTTTCTTACACAAATGTACAGGGAAATATATTATCTTAAAGAACAGTTTACTATGTTCTACCACTGATTGGAAGTTGTAGTAGAGAAGTAGTTACCTGCTGATAGGTAGACAGCCATGAACTGCTCCTGCCCGAGAAGTGAGACTATACTGGAAGAGAAACTCCACAGCACGTACATGTTTGCTGCCATGTGAAAGAATGAGTAGTGGCTGAAGGTCGACAGCACCATGGGTAAGCACAACGCCTCTTAAACAAGAAGAAAAACTGCCCATGAGTTACTGAATGGTCAACACCATTCATTCACCACTAACTGAGATAGCAGGGTCACATGTATCTTCAATATCAGGGTACACTTATATGTACGGTGTAACTTCAGCAACACAGTGCAGTTATACTGTAACTTCAGTAACAAGATTCATGTACACTACATAGAGGTACTGCATAGACTGACTGAAACACAAAGGAAAGCTCATGGCCCCCGTACTAGTGCTCCAGTAGCAGACCAATGCTTATTGCATTTTTAACAAAGAATCTCAAATAAGATATTTTCTTCAACAGATGCACTTAAAAGCACTGTACTACTTTTCAATCCAAATGCTTCAATCTTTACATAAACTGAAGCAATGGGGTTCAGGCCACTGTCATAGTCCTGAGCAGATTTGAAAGTTTGCAACAAATGGGTACCTCTCAAACGGTCCTAAATCAGTTCCCATTCCTAGGTAATCAAACCAAAACGCCCCAATTGAGAGTCTACACTCACCAGTAATTCAGTTAAAATTGCTTCAAATTTATTTCGTATAGAAACCACACAGGCAACAGTATTACAATTCAGTCAGAGTTGGATTAATTTTTCCGTCCCTCCTTCATTATCAAATTTTTGGCACTGTGTAATTAGATAACATGTAAAAAAAAACCAGTGTGTCTCTCTTTTCAAAAGGTACAAATATCAAAATCATGTAAAGAATCCCACAGGGAAGCTTGGAAAGGAAACTGAAAATGGCTGTAAAATCCTGATGGGCATAAACTATGAATCCTGAATATTTGTCACACTTACTGGAAGCAGGATTAGATGTGAAATATTTCACCATGGTCCGCTGCATTGATGGAACTCGCCACAAACAGAACACTAAAGCATTGGCTGCTATAATCCCTGCAAAAGAACAGAACAAACAGACTGTGAGGCAACTTAATTGCTGAGTACATTAAACCAGTAAATGGCATCCAAGAGTACTTAAGATATTAGGCAGAGGTATGGGTCAGGAGGGGGATGGTGGTTTGGTATGGGTCAGGAATTAACAAATTTCAAAGCACATAAGGCAGCTCCTACGAACCAGGAATGTTTGACAGTTTAAGCCAGTATCCAAAAACTTTCACAACTTTCTATCATAAGAGTGAATCAGTGCAGATGCATTCCAAACTACAAACTCAAAATTCTGAAATAACAGATCTGTTTGTGTCAGGAGGAAGAAAATAGGATTTTCCTCTGGATTAGTCCGCGTTTTTTGCTGTTACTCAGGGAAAGCAGAGATGAAACATTAGCCGGGGATTACTTTAGGTCTATGCCTGCTTGTACAGCCGGACCAAACTCCAGGCACTACTTTTGCCAGACACTTGTGGAGGTGACTGTAACGGCTTAGTGGCATTGTATTCAACACTACCTATCAATATTACTTCTAAACCACAGGTCACTATTATTCATACCTAAAACAACAGATAGCCCCTATTACCAGAAGATGTGTTACGTTTAAAAATTTGGAAACACACGGGGCAAGGTGGTTTGGTGATGATCAAAAGACAAAATCTACAACAGTGAGCTTAACTGATGCCGTAAAGCCTCAAAGCTGTTGGCACAGCTGAGGTTTACAGGCTGAGTCACAGTATTGAGTTGAAACAGTGCTGGAGTGATCAATTTACAGACTGACAGCAGAGTGGGAGGAATTGCAGAATGATCAATGGACAGACTTACTGCAGGGAGTGCAATCAGCACAGGGGTTGTTCATGGAAAAATCTGCAACTGATATAGGCCTTAGTGACGAATGGGGCCACACTATAATTAATTGCATTTGAAATTTTTTCAGTTTTCACAAAGGTTTTACACCCAAGATATTACCTCATCTATTCTCTCCACTTCACAAATGACCTCTTCAGTAGGATAACACAGGGCAGCTAGTGAATGACAGCTTATTCAAGAGGGAATACCTTCAGGAGCTTACAAGAGAATTTATGAAAATGAAGGAAAATAATCCAGGATCCAGGAGTGGATTAAAGAACATTAAAGGCCAATTTCCTACAGTTACGGCTTGCATCCAAAGTAAGACTATAAGACCATAACATTGGCCCCTCGAGCCTGCACTGCCATTCATGATTTGATACTCATGTCCACTTGCCTGCCCTTTTCCCACAACCAATAAAAATCTGGAATCTTAGCTTGCATGAAAAATATCAAGCTGAAAAAAATTTAAGAAATTTATTTTGAAACTTCTCTGCAAGTTCAGTGTTTTGATGTCGACCATAAGATGCAGAAGACTGAACTGGCTTAGACCTAACCATCCACACAGGGATTCTTGCTCTTACATCCCTCGATGTGTTACAAATTCTCTGGACTCTTCCAGTGCCTCATCCACAGCAGTCTGAGCAGATTGTGGCGTTAACTGCACCAACAACACACTAATTCAAAGATGTGCACCTTAGGTGGATTAGTCATGGGAAATGCAGTGTTACAGGGATAGGGTCTGGGTGGGATGCTCTTCAGTGCTTAAGTGTGGACTCGATGGGCTGAAGGATCTGCGTCCACACTGTAGTGATTCTATGTTGTAAATAGATGGGCTGAGGAAGGCTTGGCCCTGAATTGGTAACAAGTGGTAGTCTTTAATCAGGGAGGGTACTAAAGGAGGTCTTACCAAGGAAGAAAGTAGCTCAGGTTTGGGAAGAGGACAAGAGGCAGCCCATTGCTGGGACAAAACAGAAACAGACTTACAACATTTGGAGGTAGATCTGCAGCAGGTCCACATTGGTGAAAAGGAGTCAAAGCAGAGCTAAACAATGGGGAGACATGGCGCAAGGACTGGGAGGAATAGGAAATTAACAGTCTGAGAGCTTAGGAACTGCAGATGCTCAATATCAGTAGCAAGTGAAACCGGTAACTTGACTGGACTCCTGTAGTCTGAGGTGGAAAGTTGATCAGAAGCTAATCAAAATCAATGTTAAGATAACATAGATGGAGAAACTGTTGCGACAGGTTCAAGAACCAGAGGACAAAAATTCACTATGGGTAATTAAAGAACCGCAAGTGATACAAGAAACATAGAAAATAGGAGCAGGTGAAGGCCATTCAGCCCTTCAAGACTGTTTCGCCATTCATTCCAATCACAGCTGATCAGCCAACTCAGAGTCATACAACATGGAAACAGACCCTTCGGTCCAACTCGGCCACACCAATCAAATTTCCCAAACTAAACTAGTCCCACTTGCCTGCGTTTGGCCCATATTCCTCTATTCATGCACCTGTCCAAATAACTTTTAAATGTTATAACTGTCCCTATATCTACCACTTTTTCTGCAAGTTCATTCCACAAAAGAACCACCCTGTGTGCGAAAAAGTTGCCCCTTAGGTCTTTTCTAAATCTTTCTCAAATTCTCTTAAAATTATGCCCTCTAGTTTTGAACTCCCCCATTGTAGGGAAAAAGCCTTTGCTATTCACCTTATCTATGCCTGTCATGATTTTATAAACCTCTATAAGGTCACCGCTCAAACTCCTATGCTCCAGTGAAAAACATTCCAGCCCGTCCTTATAACTCAAACCCTCCAGTCCTGTACAACCTCAACGTGACTTCCCAACTCCTATACTCAATGGTCTGAGCAATGAAAGCAAGCAAGTTAAATGCTTTCTTAACCACCCTGTCTACTCATGATGCAACTTTCAAAGAACTATGTATCTGACCCCCTAGATCTTTGTTTGATAACACTACCCATGGCTCTACCATTAATTGTTTCAGTCCTGCCTTTGTGTGTTTTACCAAAATGCAGTACCTCACATTAATCCAAATTAAACTCCATCTGCCACTCCTCAGCCCATTGGCCCAACTGATCGAGATCCCTTTGTAATCTTAGATAACCTTTTTCACTGCCAACTATACCACCAATTTTGGTGTCATCCACAAACTTACGAACCATTTCTCCTAAATTCTCATTTAAATCGTTTATACAAATGACAAAAGTGGACCCAACACCAATCCCTGTGGCACACTGTTAGGTCACAGGCCTCTAGTCTGAAAAACAACCCTGTACCACCACCCTCTGTTTCCTACCATCAAGCCAATTATGTATCCAATTAGCAAGCTCACCCTGAATCCCATGTGATCTAACTTTACTAATTAGTCTACCATGAGGAACCTTGTCAAAGGTTTTACTAAAGTCCATGCAGACAATGGCTATGTCTCGGAACTTGTCAATCTTTTTGGTTACTTCCTTAAAAATCTCAATCAAGTTTGTGAGACATGATTTCCCAGACACAAAACCATGCTATCCCTAATCAGTCCTTGCCTTTCTAAATGCATGTAGATCCTCTCTTTCAGAATCACTACCAACAATTTACCCACCACTGATGTCAAATTCTCAAATCTTTAGTTCCCAGGCTTTGCCTTACAACCTTTTTTAAGTAAAGGCACAAAAGGCACAATCATTAGCCACCCTTCAGTCCTCTGGCACCTCACTTGTGGCTGTAGATGATACAACTATTTCTGCTAAGGGCCCCGCAATTACTTCCCTAACTTCTCACAATGTCCTGGAGTACACATGATCAGGTCCTAGAGATTTATTCACCTTTATGTTCTTTGAGACCTCCAGCACTTCTTCTGTAATGGGACTGTTTTTAAGACATCAATATTTAGTTCCCTAGCCTACATTTCTTTGTCCGCAGCAAAAACTGATGCGAAATATTTGTTTAGTATCTCTCCCATCTTCTATAGTTCCAATCAAAAACCTCGTTGATTTTTAAGGGACCCTATTCTCTCCCTAGTTCCTCTTTTGCTCTTTAATGAATTTGTAGAATCTCTATGGGTTATCCTTAACCTTATCTACCAAGGCAATCTCATATCGCCTTTCTGCCCTCCTGATTTCCCAGAACATTGAGCTACCAGTCCTGCCTCTTCCTCGGACGAGTTTCTGTAATAGTTATGATGTCCCAGTCCCACGTTCCCATATATGCCCTGAGTCCATCTGCCTTACCTGCAAGGCCCCTTGCATTGAAATAAATGCAGTTTAATTCTTCAGAGTCACCTCATTCTGACTTGCCCTCACCTGCTTTTTTGAATTAACTTGCTCTTTTTTTAAATTCAGAACCATTCTCATTTGTCTTTCTTTTCTCTCACTACTACTTAGGATCCCCACCTCCCTCCCTATTAGTTGAAAGGCTCGCAAATAGCACGAGCAAATCTCCCCACAAGGACGTTCGCCCCCTAACAGTTCAGGTGAAACCCATCCCTTTTGAACAGGTCTTTTCTGCTGCGGAAGAAATCCAATGATCTAAAAATGTGAAACCTTGCCAACTGCCCCATCTCCTCAGTCACTGATTTATCTGCCCTACCTTCTTATTCCTACTCTCACTAGCACTTGGCACCAGAAGTAATCCAGAAATTACTACCTTTGAGGTTCTGCTTTTTAATCTTCTACCGAACTTCCTATATCCACTCTGCAAAGCCTCAATTCTTTCCCTAATTATGTCATTCTTATCAACGTGTGCGACAGCTTCCGGTTTCTCACTCTCCTCTTTGACAATATGCTGCAAATGTTTTGAGATGTACTTGAAACTAGCACCAGGGAGGCAACATACCATCCTGAATTCACACTCATGGCCGCAGAATCTCCTGTCTGTGTCCCTGACAACAAAGTCCGCTATAACAATTATTCGTCAAACACCACTTAACATAAAATTCATTCTTTGTGCCCAAGATCTGGCTGCCATTTCTATTTTCCACTGAGATACCATCCTCAACAGGAGCCAAAAAGGTATATCTGTTTGAGAGAAGAATAACCACAGGAGACTCCCGAACTACCTTCCTACGTCTCCTGACAGTCACCCATCTAGTTCCCACTTTTCCCCCATATCTTTTGATCCCTTTAGCCCCAAGTGCTATATCCAACTCTTCCTTGAAATTATACAATGTTTGGACACAATTGCTTCCTCTGGTAGTAAGTTCCACAGGCTCACTACTTTCTGGGTGAAGAAATTTCTCTTCATTTCAGTTCTAAATGGTCTACCCTGTATCCTTAGACTGTGACCCATGGTTCTGGACTCCCTAGTCATTGGAGCATCCTTCCTAAATCGACCCCGCCTTGTCCTTTTAGAATGTTATAAGTTTTTTTTATGAGATTCTCCTTCATACTTCTGAGCACCACTGAATATAGTTCTAACTAATTCAACTTCTCCTCACATGTCAGTCCCACTATCCCAAGAGGGAAAAAAACCTCTTTTACACTGCTCGTGGTTAGAATCTTGAATGCAGAGCCTGACAGTTTGGTGATGGCAGATTCAGTCATGCCTTTTGAAAAGAATTAGATAATTATCTGCAGGGAAAAAACAAAATCCAGGGTTACAGAGGAATGAGTCCAGCTCTGTTGGTCTTGAAGAGAGTTGACAGGGACATAAAGGGCCAATGGTCCCCTGTGAATTGTAATTATTATAATGATTTTACAGGTTATAACACATGATAAAGATCAGAAGACAACACATCTGCAGGGCTCAATTCAGGGAATTCAGGCATTGACAGGTGACGCAGATCAGAATATCAGATCTGTCGATATTTTCTTTTGAAAATTATATCAGATGAAATGTGTTATATATGGCTAATCCAAATGTTTTTTGCAAGGCTATTAGAATTGAATGACAGCACCACCATGTGGTGTCAATGGCTAGCTGCAAAACTATATAATTCACTATGATCATCTGCAGTGGCAAATATTGCATTTACCACTTCTGTTTTACAACAAAACTAGATTTGTACCTTTATACTTCCAGATAGGAATATCTTTAACGGGGTCCTCAATATTACTCATCCAAATGTTTGACTAAAGGAGATACTATTAAGTATGATCGAGTATCTAAAGAACCTGGAATATAATCTCAAAATAGCCCTTGTACAAGACACATAGAAAGCAACAAAAGCCCTTGAAGCAAATTTCAACATCATAATTGTAATGCCCGAGGTAGAAGGCTGTCCTAACATTGAAAACTATATTCTCAGTATTTCTCATTCATATCCATTGCATTTAACACAAACCTGTGACAGTCTTCTGCCCCTCAGTAAGGCTGTTCCACCACTGATTCACCTAAAACACAACAATAATTGAGTTTCAAATATGACAGCAGACTTTGCACAGTGATGCCACTGTATAGCAGCGTAGATGCATAAAATCAGAAACAGATGTTAACAGATCAAGCTAGTAAGCAAAGCTAGTGGCTAGTGGATTTTCGATGTCATCAAATCTGGGATCATCACTTTGAACTACAAAGAATAGGTTACTTTCTAAATGGTGAAAAACAAGAAACAGAAGAGACTCAAAGAGACTTGAGGTCCATGAATACATATCATTTAAACATCATGGATAAATACAAATAATATTCAAAAAGACAAAACAGAGTGCTGTCATTTCTATTAGAGAATTGAAATAAAAGGAGGTAGAATCAGTGCTTGAGATATAAAACGTTCTAGTTAGACCATTCCTGGACCACTAGAGACACAGGTTGTCCTGACTTTGAATTATATCTCCTTTCCTTCACTGTCACTAGATCTAAAACCTGGAACTCCTTTCTTTACAGCAGTGTGGGTTTACCTACCCCTCACAGACTGCAGTGGTTGAAGGCAGCAGCTCACCACCGCCTATTCCAGGGCAACTAGGGATGAGCAACAAATGCTGGCCTTGCCCATGATGGCTATATCCCATGAATGAATAAAAAAGCTCAAGGTTAGTAGAAATTTGGAAAACTCTTCCACAAATTGCTAATTGTTAATTAATTGACAATTATTAATTTTAATCCTAAACTTCATAGATCTACATTATCCAAGGACATTAAAGAATATGGAGCAAAGGTGGGTTATGTGTAGTTTGATTACTGAATTCATCATTGTTACCTCACTGAGAGGTAGCACAGGCTCAAAATATTAAATGCTCTTCTCCTGTTCCAGTGCTGCTATTGTGAATCATACAAGCTCATTAAAGCCGAGCCTTTTAATAACAGAAATTCTCTTATTAAAGCTTATGTCTCTCGTGTCCTAATTTTTTCATTAAAGCTCATCCTTATATGGTATTTTTACAAAAGGACATTCCTCTGATATCTGACTCCTTCACTATAACTCATTTCTCACTCATACCAATTGTCCAATCAAAAATCCCACCTCCAAAACCTTCCCCATCAAAACTCATCCCACTTCTATGCTCGCTTTTCCAACAAAGCTCAACAATGCTGTATCCTGTAACTGCTAAAGTACTTGTACCCCAATTCTACAACTGATGCCCACCATATTTGCATCCTAACTCCACCAATGAAACTCAGTGCTTTACCTCTACAATCAAAGCTTACCCTAACTAAACACCAACTCTAACCTCAAAACTCACCTGTATTGTATCTTAACTGTTCCATAAAAAACTCATTCCTATCATAGCCCAACTATCCTTTAATACAGAAAAACGTCTAGGTCATTTCACACAGGCATCATCTTCTCCAAATGACATGTCGGCCTTCAAAGTTATCAGACTTTATTCATTCTGCATGTTTGCAGTTTTAGGCTTTTAGCTCAGGTATTCTCAACAACATAGACCATTCCTATACGCAAGCCGCTGCTCCACAAAAACAAATTTCCAACCAATCTCTCGTAATACAGTCAGTCACAGTGTTGATTAGAAGACTCTATTATTTGGACTTCAGGAAGCTACAGTATAAACTTTCTATCAAATTGAACTGTCATCTACTAAACAGAATTAACAGGTAAACAACGAATACATACACAAAAGCCTATAGAGGTTAATGCTGGACCGAACACACCAGTTCAACCAATCCGTGTTAGACTATAAGACGTAGGAATGGAATTAGGCCATTCAGCCCATGCTATGCCATTCAATACGGTTGATATGCTTCTCAACCCAATTCTCCTGCCTTTTCTCCACATCCTCTCTATCAGGCCTCTCGGTATCCTGTAAGTTTCAATCAGATTCCCCTTTATCCTCTGAAGTCTGTCAAGTATGGGCCCACAGTTCTCAACCACTCTTCATATGACTAGCCTTTCGTCCCAGGATCATTCTCATAAACCTCTTCAGGACCCTTTCCAATGGCACATACGGACTCGCAATATTCCAAATATGGTCTGAACACCACCTTATACAGCCTCAGCAATACATCTCTACTTGTTTTCTAGCCCTATTGAAATTAATACTAACATTGCTTTTGCCTTCATAAATGCCAACTGCACATTCATGTTAATCTTAAGAGCATCCTGAACTAGGACTCCCTTGTCTCTTTGCATTTTAGATTTCCAAAGTCTTTCCCCATTCAGAAAATAGTCTACACCTCCATTCTTCCTACCAAAATGTATAACCTCACACTTTGCCACATTGTATTCCATCTGCCACTTCTTTGCCCATTCACCTAGCATGTCTAAGTCTGCAGCCTCCCCACTTCCTCAACATTACCTGTTCCTCCACGTATCTTTACATCATTTGTAAACTTAGCAACACTGCCTTCAGGATTTACCTTGCTTTCAATAGTCTTGTGCAAATTTACTCACTCTGTTCCCTTTTTGTTTATTTCCTTCATTCATCTATCCAATCCAATCACATTTTTTGACAAGTTTTCCAGCCTCAACAACTATCTCAGAGGTGAATTTCATAGTTTCACAACTCTCCTTGCAAAGAAATTTCACCAATCCTCTGTTTCAGTCCCTTGCATATCTATTACCCCTTGTTCTAGGCTCAACAACTGGGAACACTGTGATTCTATCCACCCTTTCATTATTTTTAACACTGCTATATTATCTTTCAATCTGCATTTGTTCAATACAAAATGACCCAATTAATGAAATCTTTCTGCAGATTCGTACTTTCTCAAACCAAGCAGCATCCTAGGTTATCTGTCTGCTACTTATTGTAAGGTCTTAATATCCTCCCTATTATGTGCCAATCAATACTAGCCTCAGTACTATAAGTGAAATCTCAGGGTTTTGTAAGTTCATTGTTACTTCATCATTACCTTTTGACTTTAATACTCTGTATCTTTCACGATTAAAAACTAATATTTCGCTAGCTATTCTTTTCTTTTAAGCCAGGCTTCATGGTTGGAGGTTGCCTTTATTACCCAGGCACTTGAACCTACATTCTTTCTGTTCACCCACAACACCGAAATTTGCCAAAACATAGCATCTCCTACTTACTGACAATAAATTTTACATGCCACTGTACAGCCCATATTCCCATCTCTTTACATCCCCTCTGCAGCCTCCTCTTGTTTTCTACAAATTAATATTTATATTCATTACACTTTAGCATTGGTATATTTTGTCACCATTCTCTCTTAACCTTTAGCAAAATCATTCACTTGTGCAATGAACAGCAGTGGCCCTATATTTAAGCTTCGTGGGCTCCAAGGACTGTTCTCGACCTCTGGATAATTGCTTTCAACTATTACCCTTGCACTTACTCCTTTCTAATCATTTTTATTCTAGATTTCCTACTAATAACTTCATGCCCTTTAATTTTCTGATATTTTGTGAATACATTTATGCAACTTAATATACAATATATCCATTGCATGTGTCAATTAATTTTAGATTTTTAAAGCATGATTTCTAATGTTTTCTCTTCATATAGCCAAATGGAAACTTCATTTTTAAATTATAGATACTAAAATGCTCCTGGTTCTAAATGGTAAACTGACTGGCCTGTAATTACCTGCATTAGCTCTGCCTCCCTTTTTAAAAATGGTTGCTAAACTGGCCACTCTCCAGTCCTCCGGCACATATTCATTCTCAATATAGCCCTGATATATAATGATACAGCAGGTGTAGAATAACATTAAAAAGCAGATCTTATCCTCACAAATAAAAAAAAATACATGGCTGAATGCTAAAATACTCAGCAAAACTGGATGCAGGTTTAATGTCCATTCATGTCAGAATCTTTGCTAAGCAGCTCACAAAGCCTTTGACCTATTTCTCGGGCCCCGGATGAACTCCATAACTGGGAGCATTCCTCCCCAAGAGGAACCCTAAATACACTTTCCAGTCCAATCAGAAACAAAAGAAATCAAATTAAGTTTCTCTCAATAACTACATTATGCTGACAAACAACTATTGTATCTCACAGACTTGGTTCTGAGCCTGGGGTCCAAATATCCTTTGAAACATGTCGTTGGTTCATTCGTATGGGAGGATGAAAGATATAAGATTACTTATCAGCTCTGAATTGGAGGTTGTGGGTTCAAGTGCCACTGCAGAAAAGGTCCAGACGGACGCTCTCATGCAGAGCCGAAGGAATCTTTCAGATGAGAAGCTAAGCCAAGGCCACATCTGTCTTTTCATATGTACAAACAGATCCCACCTCATTACATGAAGAACAGAGAAGTTCTCTCTGGTTTCTTGGCCAATATGTATCTAAGGTTTGGGAGTAGATTTGTAGCTTGGGTTGTGGGTGTTGAGGTTGGTTGGCTCGCCGAGCTGGTTTCTTGTTTCGCAGACGTTTCGTTACCACGCTTGGTAAAATCCTCAGTGCAGCCTCCAATGAAGCGTCGGTGTGTTTTCTTGCCTGGTTTTTCTCCCCAAGGATAATGGATATCCAAAGAATTGGGTCAAAAGATGCCTACATGGACAGCATCAGAAAGAGACTACACGCCCCGACACACTCATCACACAACTCTACATCAGAAACACATTGGAACTCACCACAAGACTCCTACGACCGCTGGGCATCAGAGTGGCACACACCCGCACGTCAACCCTATGACAACTGCTCACCCGAACTAAAGAACCCCTCCCCACCGTGGACAGGACCAATGTCATCTACAAGATCCCCTGCAGAGACTGCGAGAAACACTATATCGGGCAAATAGGAAGGAAACTAATAACAAGAGTGCATGAACACCAACTGGCTACAAAAAGACACGACCAGTACTCACTCGTCTCAATCCACATGGACAAGGAAAACCACCACTTCGACTGGGACAACACCAAGATCCTGGGACAGGCTAGGCAGAGACAAGCACCAGCATTCCTAGAAGCATGGCACTCCACGAAGCACTCTATTAATAAACACATTGAGCTCAACCCCATATACATTCCACTACGAAGGAAAACTGGAAGTAAGGCAATCCATCTCAATGGACCCCAGAGTTTAAAAACCAGGGGGAAAACACACAGACGCTTTAACATTTCTTGAATTCCAGCTTTCAATTCGCCGCACCTAAGCACATTTCTGCAGTTGAGATGGTGGCTTTGCGGTGACATTCTCTTAGGCTACCAAAGTGTTGCATCATCCTGCCTTCCCTTGCTGTGGCAATTCTAAAGCAGCTCATCTCCCGGGTAATAAAACCCAAGAGGGAAACATAATAATCAGGAGCTTATAACTCGAAAGAAATTTGATTTTTTTTTAAATGCTGTGACATTTCACAAACTTTTACCTGTTTCCTGATATCGCCAGCTTTGGGCGGGTGATGCTTTTCCAACCAATCCAATCGGAGGTCATTGAAGTAACTTTGAACTCTGGATTTGAGAGACTCATACTGCCAGATAGCTGCCACCCCGAATGAGGATCCTGTGAACTACATGAGTTACAGATCAGTGTCTAATTGATAACTCAGTTTAACATACAGCCCCATTGCTAGATTAGCCAGGTTTTTCCTCCTACCTTTTTCAACCTTGCACTGTTCTGTTAGAGGACAAGAACAATAGTGTATTTCCACTGGGTAAAACGCTAAGGTCTGTAATACACGTAAGACAAATAGCCCATGGTCTACAAAGCAAAATACCTGGCGAAGAGCCCAGGTCTTTCCAAAGGGGCAACATTTTCACACGGAGGGTGGTGCATGTACAGAATGAGCTGCCAGAGGAAATTGTGGAGGCTGGTAAAATTACAACATTTTAAAGGCATCTGGATGGGTATATGAATAGAAAGGGTTTAGAGGGATATGGGTTAAATGCCGTCAAATGGGGCTAGATTTATTTAGGGCAACTGGTCAGCACGGACGAGTTGGACTGAAGGGTCTGTTTCCATGATGTACATCTCTATGACTCTAAAGCTCTAAATCAACATGTCCCCTTGTCTCTGTCAACCTATTGAAAGTGAAAATGCATGATCAATACCCACCAGAGGTCTTTTCAAATTTACACACTGACTCCAATTAAGACTACAATTGAAAATAGGCACCATTTACAAGAACAATTTGAAACAGTAAAAAGTAAAATGACTGCTCAGACCAGGAGAGTTCAAAGTTCTGGGCAGCAACACAAGATGAACAAAGGAATTCAGGAATCTAGATGTAAAAAACAAAAGTTGCCCTCAAGTGGAGAAATCGCTCAGATGAACTTGTACAATCCTGTGCTTCTTTGTAACGATGACAGAATATGAAATAAATTACAACTGCAGCTAGGAACAACAGTGAGCAGATTCATTTGGAATAGTTTTCTGTCAGGTTAGAAAGGAGATACAGATCTGCAGAAAGTCAGCAACAACTCCCTAGAACACAATCTAATTTGAACAAACACAGGTTAAAATCCCCAAGGATGAATTGCAAAGGAGTGGACTGAGTGAGGTGTCTAAAATAAAGATTAATAGGGTAGATCACATTCAGTTCTTCCCTCCAAAGCAAGGGTATATCTTAAGAATTGAGCAAAACTGGTCAACAATCTGGAATACTTACTCCACACAAAAGATTTGTGAAAATATGGGACATACTACTCCAGGTACGGGCTCAGAATCTACACAGGCATGTAAAAGTAAAATATTTATTAGAAAATAGGGTATGGGAATTTGGATGGAAGACAGAGCTGCCACAGTCAACAACAGAGGAGCAGCCCACTGGGATCAATGGCCATCACCTTTCTCAAGTAAAATCGGACTCGGCACTCCAGGTCAGGGAAAGGAAAATGACCAAAAGTTTCTGATCGCTGTACAGTAATGTCCAGTGACACAATCTCCAGCCTCACATAGGAAGAATAGCCACTCGGGGAAGCACCCAGTTCCTCAGGAAATTATACATCAGTATTCCTCAGAGTTTTCAATAGAGGAGGAAATAGCATCCTCTTCAGTGTTAGCTTACCCCTACAGTAAACACAAAAGGTCTGACGAGCCTTCTAAACGAGCGTGATGATGATTTAGATAAGACTGGCTCATCCAGCATCGGGGTGAGGCTGCTTTTGCTTGTCCGATTCACACGTGAGGCCAAGTCTTTCAGAATCTTTTCGTCCGGCTCCACTTTCCGGGGTTCAATTTTTTTAGGTGTTTTTCTAAACCCACGCTTAGCATCCTTGTAGAAAATTAACCTGGAAGAAACGTAAATGAGATTTACATCGTTCAGTATGCTTCAAAAGGTTCACTGTACACACGTTGCAGCACATATTCAATAGTGACAGTATATCTGCATCAGCACCAAGTACTGGAATGGAAATGAGGCATTGCAAGAACTAAAGAAGCACTCCTGCCATTTTTGGTCAGCACACCTTCTCAGTTCATTGCTGAAACACAGTAAATATGCTCAGACAAAAATATCTAAAATGACCTGATGTGTAGATAACAGAATATGGTATTTTCCCTTCAAATGTCCCAACAAATTAAGATACCCCCAGCTATTTGACACAGAGAATATGTTATATCACTGTGGATTATGGAAGATAAAGACAAATCTCTTAAGCCCATTCACCAAACTGTAAAATTACTACAAACATTGATTTTGAGAATTAAGTCCCAATCATCTCTCCAGTTACTGAATTATTCACTTCAGTACAACTTGTACATTTGATTTTCCTGATCTACTCCAAATTCTGCTTTCTGCATTCTACATGACAGGATTCAGAAAGCAATGCAGAAACAACAACAGAAATTGCTGGAAAAGCTCAGCAGGTCTGGCAGCATCTGTGGGGAGAAATCAAAATTAACGGTTCGGGTTGAGTGACCTTTCCTCAGAACTCTGATTGCTGTCCACAGACACTGCCAGACCTGCTGAGCTTTTCCAGCAAATTCTGCTTTCGTTTCTGATTTACAGCATCTGCGGTTCATTCAGTTTTTATTCAGAAAGCAATGCTTCACCGTGATCACTGTCCTGATACCTACAGTGCACCGCATTAGAGGGTACTGGCTTCACAGCACATAAAGACAAAGTATATCACGACGTTCTTTCCAAAGCAAGAGTCACATTCCCCAAAACCTGATCTTTTTCCCACAAAAAAATCTCAGCAAGCAGTCTTGACCACCAAAAAGGGAAACATCTACTTCATTATCCGAAATTCCTCAGCAAGCCCGAAATGCAAGAAATTTGTGCACTACTAGCAAATGACAGCTCCACCATTTGCAAACAGAACAGCCTTTTGGGGTGCAAAATTTTGTCAAGAGTTCAGCTGGGCACAAATCCACTGGTGCTTTTTACGCGATTGCGACTAAACTTCAAAAGCACTTAAATTATCAATAAAGTACTTTGGGAGGACCCCAAAATGGTGGAAGTCGCTATATAAATGAAAGCTCATTCTGTGTTAAATATCTACATTTTTGATTAAAGGGTCAGTCTGTGAATTAGAGTCAACTATCACTATTTTATTATCAAAAAGTTGCGAATGAAAGAGTCACAGGAATGCCGTAAATTTTGTATGCATTTTTTTTTAAGTTTCTGAGCTGCCCTGAACATTTTCCAGTGTTGCCATGGAGATTTAAAGGTTTTTTTTATTCATACATAGGATGCAGGTATCGCTAGCAAGCCAGCATTTGTTACCCATCCCAAATTGGTTTTGAATTGATTGACGGTTCAGGCCATTTCAGAAGGCAGCTAGCAATCAACTGCACTAAGTTTGGAATCACAGGTAGGCCAGTCCAATAGGATAGCAGGTTTCCTTTCCTAAAAGACATTAGCGAGCTTAATGGACTTTTAATAAAATAAAACAGACTAACTTTTATTAAATTTCCAATTTTACTGAATTCAAATTTCACCATTTGCCATGGTGTGTTCAAAGACATGCCCCCAGAGCATTAACCTGGCATTCTGGATTACTTGTCTGATGACAATACCATTACCCCTAAGAACAAGTGGAGTATATGAAATTCTCCTACTGTGTCTGTGTGTCAACAGTGAAAGCACCAGGATTAAATAGCAAAGATAACACAGTGTGGAGTTGGAGGAACAC